CAGCATCAGTAGCTGTATCAGAGTAGGGTTTAAAAAAGGAATGGAAATTTAAGTGGCAGCAGTATTTTTCACTTTTTTAAAATCTCAATAAGTGGGTGTGTTAAGAAAGTAAAGAATAAAAAGAAATATATGCAATACACTTAAGAGACAGAAATAGTTCCTACTGCAACTTGCTTTGCTCAGTGTTTATTTTGCCGTCTCATATTATCTGACACAGCCAGGTTGTTTTAACACTTTAGTTAACAAGGGCTTGCCTGGTGTATGCCAGTCTCAAGAAATAATAAAAACAAAATAAATTGAAGCAGGCAAGTATATCCTAGAGCAGTCATAAGAAATCCTTTGGAGAAACTTACTTTGTTGGTTACCAGGGGTGGGAGGGGAGGGGAGGAAACACTACAAAAAAAAAAAAAAAAAAGCATTGACTCATATCACTTTAGTTTTGTGTATTTCACTGTACATAAATTATATTTGAATAAAGTGTATTTAAAAAAATCCCTTGGAAATGTGTTTATTAAATGCAGTAATATTTGGCTTTGCCAAAAGTTTTATAGAAAATAAATAGGAAAGCTTAAATCTCACTAAGCTGTAGAAGGGTAGGATGAAAGAAACCCTGTTGGTCTTGAGATATATATATTTTTTTAATTCTTATTTTTGCCTTTTGAATTGTGATTTGGGTAAAAGTTTACAGAGCACATTGATGTTCCATTCAAAAATCCATGCAAATTCTGTTTTGTGACATTTCCTGCAACCCCCACACTGTAACAGCATTGTTTCCACTTCTCCCTATGCCAACCCTTCCCCTTCCTTCTTCTCATCCTCTCTTGCCTTCCTAGCTCTATCCCTGAGCAAATGCAGTCCTCTTGACCTCATATGCTTGATTGTGGTAATGAGCGTATCCCTTCCTGTTACTGTTACAGGTCTGTCGTTTGCGTGCCAATCAAGTTACAACGGTTAGATTCAGTTCCTACCTTGAAGGGTGCCTAAGGGTCATATGAGATATATTTTCAAAATATTTAGATACCCAATTATCAGGTGTGAATTTTTTTTTCATAGGCCATTGGAGTGATAATGTCCCATTTTTAATACACTGTTCAACCACGAGTTTATCTTTTTTACACAGTCATTAAGTATTTATTATACCCCAAATGTAGGGACACCCAATGTGTACAGTACATTGTGCCAGGCCTCATAATTTATAACCCAAAGGCAAAAAGGAGGGGGAAAACTGAAAATTATCCATCTCTTTGTCTAAAAAAAATGGTCCTAAACTTTTTGGTTCACAAAGCCCTCTGGGTAGCAGGCAAAGGTTCTTAGCCCTCTCCCCAGGGGGAAAAAAAAAAAAAAACTGCACATAAACACACCATCTTGTATAAAATTTCAGGGAGTTCATGAAAAACCCTAGGTGTAAAATAAAAGCACAACAGCTTTCCTTCCTCTGTCTTCAGGGATGACATGAAGATCAAGGTAAGCCATCCAAGAGAACATTTACGAAATAAATAAAAAGAATTTTTGGAGCTGAAATAATTTCAGATGAAACAATATATTTGGCATTAATTTAAAACAATATAGTGTATGTATCGGGCAGTGGGAGAGGAGAGGGAGGGTATAGATGAAACAATATTGGCCATAAATTGATGGTTGTTGAAGCTGTGTTATGGTACTTGGGAGTATAGTATGCAGTTTGCTCTGATTATTTCAAGATCTGACGCTTTTATTTTTTTCTACTTTCAGACACTCTCTTAACTTACTGGAATAAAGTGTCTCCTCAGGAGCTCATAAACATTCTCATACTTCTAGAGTAAGTTATATTAACTTATTTTCTTTTTTTTTTAAATTGTGATTTGGATGAAGATTTACAGAGCAAATTCACTTTCCATACAGCAGTTCACATACACTTTGTCTCATGACATTGACCACAGTTTACCACAATGCAACAGCTCCCCTCCCACTTCCTCCCATAGTTACCTCTTTCCAGTGTCCATCCCTCCACACACTTCTGCCCTCTGAGCTGTCTCCCTGTGCATAGGCAGCCCTTCTTTCTCCCATGATTGTTCTCTCCAAGGAGTGTATCTACCTCAGGTAAATGTTCAACTCGTATGCCTGTCTTTTGTTTGGCTGGAAACCACGGGTGTGGGTTCAATTCCAGACCTGAAGAGCAGGTAGGGGCCATAGTCTCAGTGGTTCCACCAGGCTCTATCGGACCAGCAAACCTGGCCCCCCCTTTTTTCTTCCTCCAAATGATTGTGAGTTGTGTTCCACATTGTTCTCCCTCTCTATCAATATTAACTTATTTTCATAAAGGTCCCCTTACTCAGGGGGAACAATTTCCAAATACAATAAAATGTTATCTTTTTTAAAATCAGCTTATTTGCTAAAGATACAGAGAATTTGAAATTATTCTGTAATTTGATAATATAGAGACTGGCATAGATGTTCTTCACAGGTAGATATAAGAAAAAACATGTAGTTGCAATATTTCAGATATTACAGAAAACTAGCCAATAATAGACCATGTTTCCAGCCCAACCAGGAGTCTTTCTGTGATCTGGAAAAATAGAAGTAGCATCAGCTGTCTCAAATCATTCATTTGGAGCAGATGTTGGATGAGCAGCTTAAATGATTAGAATTTAGAGTTTGTACTTTGAGGAAGAGCTGAGTAATTCTACCCACTTCAGAAATACAGATAATGGCATTCCCCGGGTTACTAACGAGATCAGTTCCTAACTGTGTCTTTAAGTCTTTTAGTGGAGTTTGTAGGTAAGTCAGAACAAGTGCATACAGTTCTTATTTACCCTTACTTTAGTGCAAGAAAAGGCGCCAAGCCTTTTCGGTGATTTACAAGCTGCACATGCAGCAAGTGAAGATGATGGTGATGATGAATTTATTGCGTGTAGAGATCGGTTGACTTGTTTGAAAGGAGGGCAAATTTAAGTAACGTTAAAGGGCAAGTAGGAGTTGTCAGTAGGCCAGGTGACCCAGGACTGCCTGTATATGTACAAACATATGTATATGTAGGTGTTTGTACACATATCTCCATTCCAAAGCACTTGGGGAAAAGTCTGGAGGTGGGAAGTTATGGTATACTGTATGCTGAGCTATTACTACATCATTACTCAAAGCATAAATATTAGACTCAAAATGAAATGTGTGAAATTTTTACATAAACTGTACAATATATGATATTGTATGTGCATGCCTGCCAAAGAAAAAAAGGTTAATCGATGCATAAATATTTGATTAAAGTCTCCCAAAATTTTGCAGAAAATGTCAGACTAAATAGCTATTTGCGATGTTAAAAAAAAAAAAAAAAACTATTGCATATATTGAAATAGTTACTGATGAAACTATATGTTGGGGATTTGCTTCAAAAAAATACAGAAAATTAAGGGCAGGAGGTAGGAAGACCAGGAGACCTGTTAGGGTGAGAGGTTAAACAAGAATGATTATGAATGGATAATTGTTGCATCTGATGGGTGACGGGTACATGGGGATGTATTATGCTACCTTCTCGACTTTTGTATGTGCTTGAGATTTTCTATAATAAAAAGTACTTTAATACCATTAGAAAAAGTACTGCAATTGCCCCAATTTTTAAGGCTTGAGAACCTTTTTTAGGAACTATGATGATGTTAAGAGACCTGTGTATACACTACAGAGCACAAAGGATGATTTGCAATGGCAGTTGTTTTTTAACAATTGCCATTAGAATGGTATGTTAAGATGAGTCATTTCCTGATGCTAGTGTAATTGAACAAATACATGTAGACAGGTGTAATATAGCAAGCTTAATGTGTATATTTATTTATGTACACCAGGGCTTATAATAAATGAGTCATTCTTTGTAACTCATGATTTATCCAATAGTACTTGTTAAATTCTAGAATGTGGTCATATATAACTAACATTCTATTGTTTTTCTTTCCAGAGTATGTTTGTTTCACTTTAGATATATGGGGAAAAGAAACATAGCAAGGTAATTCCCCTAGCGCTGCAATTTCTATTTTTCCCTTCTCTTCCAACAGAGGGCAGTCTTAACCATGACATGGAAAACCCAAGCTACTCAGTGCAGAAACATTGACAGTTTTGCAGAAAATGCCAGTGGACTACACATTAAGACATTCATGGCTTACTTAACGTGTCCCAACATAATAATGTTTAAATTAAACCAATGCAAACTTAAATATTTTTCAGTTTTCCAAGAAGTCATGGTTAGACTGATATGTGGGGTTTCTATCTTGTGAGGTCTCACCTAGTGCTAGAACAGATGCTTGTCTTTCCTGAAGGGTGTGAGAAAGGGCAAGAACGGGGCGGGGGGGGGAGGAAGCAGGAATTTATAAAATGAGGATGACTGTGAGGTCTGTGCCTTTGGCTACAATCTAGCAATACTCATGTACCAAGGTAAATAGAAATCCCCAACAGAGATTAGGAGATGCTGCCTTATACATGATCTATTTCTTCTTTTTGCCATTTAAGTGCTAGTGAAATTAATAAGAAGTGTTTAAGAGACCCTAAGCCAAAGAGTACTCACTCGTTTCAGTAGGAATTATTTTAGGGGTAGAGTTAAGTAACTCTAATACAGGTTTTTTTTGTTGTTGTTGTTGAGTTCCATCACACTTCAGAAAATTACACTTCAAAAAATTAAAGAGGCTGTTTATTTGGATGAGGCGTCTTGAGTTGTCTATGGAACATCCATAATAGGTGGCTGAGATGAAGAGAATTCCAAACACCATTGTTTTCCCCCATATCTTGGAGCCAGTGTGGTACTGCACTAGGAGCCTTAGCTGCTAGGATTCTGCTGACCATTTCATTGTGTTTACTAGAAAATAGACACAGTTTTTCTTCCTTAGTTCATGTAAGACCCAGTTGTAATTTTTTAAAAATGCGATCTTAACATTAAAGGAAAACAAAAAGTTCATAAATCTTAAAAATAGATACGTTTACAGACTCAAATTTTCTGATCCAAATTTAACTCAAGCCCAGAAACAGATTAGATTGACACCTGTGTCTTCTTGAGCATCTAACTCCAGGGTGTTTTCCACTTCATTTCAATACTGAGCATCCTTCTCATTGTCTTCTCCGACCCTTGCCCTTCCTCACCTCCTGCTAAAAGGCTGAAGCTTATTGGTACTTAACTCTGATGTTTTTGAGGAGCGAATTGGAACATTCTTTCTAGTTGCTTAATTACACCAATATGATTGGAAATGATTTCACATATATTTTTAAAGATAGAGTAAAACTTCATACAGTTTCCAGTGATGCCTTATTTAATCCAAGTAATAGTTGGTAGGATGTGGAGCATAGCATCACCATTATGTGTGAACTTAATTGTTTTTTATTTAAAAAAAAATCAGACATTGAGATACGTTATTGTGCTCAATTTCCTCACTTTCACATTTATTTCAGGGTGCATGATGCCTGGCTGTCTAAACACTTAGGAATAGACCGAAAATCACAAACCATGCCAGCTCTTCGAAACAGATCAGGAGTAATGCAAGCCCGACTTCAGCATCTAAGTAGCCTGGAAAGTTCATTTACGCTTAATCATAGTAAGTGGAAATGTGTGCCGGGTACCCATTTGAATCAGCCATGTAAATGGTATTTAACCTTAAAGAGGGCCTGGCTTAAAGCACCAATAGGATTGGGAAATAATTTCCCATATATTTGTATATCTCTGCTATGTACAAAATTATTTTATCATATATGAGTATAGAACAATAAAATATATGCATGGCTTTTTCAACAGTTTTAGATAACAGGTTTTTTTTTCTTAGCTCAGTATTTAACTTTACTCGGTATGTTACTGTTTTCATTTTAGTATCTAATATTGGAAATCCTTTATTCTTACTGTTAAACTTTAATGCAGATAATGGCATGCTTAATATACTGTTGATGCTTAATATAATAGTATGTACACTATTTGTTTAGAGGTACTATTCATTCAGTGAACATGCTGAGCTATGGAATTTAATGAATCTAAAATACGATTTTGGCAAAGGTGCATCTCAGGCAGGTTGCAGTCTTGAAAAGGCAGATAGAACAAGGAAAGAAACCTTGCTTGGCTGGAGAAGCTAGAGAGTTAAAGGAATGGAAGCTCTCTTCTGAGAAGCAAATATTAATAAGAACTCAAAAGAGTAAGAAAACATTAATTGCCATGAAATCCTCTGAAGGTTGCAGACGGGGAAGGCAGCAAAACTGGCGTTGTGGTGAGAGTAATACTGAAAACAAGCATCGCGAGCAAATGAGCCCAGAGCTAATAGATTCAAGATCTTTAAGGGGGGGGCACAAGTTTTACAGCCTTCAACTTTTCCCCTCATCACTTGTAAAAGTATAATGACTCTAGTTCATTCAGGTGACCCAGATAATACCTTGTTTTCCTTCCATTTAGAAACAGGCGTGTGTACCATTGGTATAATTGAAGACATCTGACCATCACAGAGTAGCCTGAGTGCTGTTAAGCTGTTGCCAACACTTTCCCTTCCTCATGGCAACCCCATGCACAAACGGGATCAGACCACTGTGATCCATAGGGTTCTCATTGGCTGAATTTCGCCAGCCTTCTGGTTGACAGTCAGATGCCTTAGGCACTATGCTGCCAGAGCCTTCCTTCCTAGTCTTAATATGGAAGCTCTACTGAAACCTGTTCAGCATCAGAGCAACACAGAAGCCCCCACTGACAGGTGCATTGGCTGGGAATTTAACCCAGTTCTTATTCATGGATAAGCGAGAGTTCTACTTACTGCTGAACCACCCCTGTATGTAGTATAGCTGACTTTCTATAGAGTTCTCATTTTGACACACACCATTAGTGGCATAGGCGAAAAGGCTTCACATGTTATTTCCTAGTTACATTACTTTATCACTGAAGTTTTGTTTCCAAACAAATAGGTACCTAAGTATGTGCTACAGAGCTGAAGTGAAAATTAGTAGAATTGATCAACCATCTTTGATGAAGGAGTTAAGATGGTGAAACTCCTTAGGGCTGTAGGTATTGAGAGGCTCCTCTCTTCTGGCTTGTCTCTGAGTCTTTGGGGAAACAAGGTTCAGAACTGTTACATGGATCTCTGTTTTGGGCAAAGTTCTAATAGACTTTTTGGTTTTTTTTTTCTTTTTTCCCCCACCCCAGGTTCTGCAACGAGCGAAGCAGACATTTTCCACCAGGCACTTCTGGAAGGCAACACTGCCACTGAAGTTTCCCTAACAGTGCTAGACACCATATCTTTCTTCACCCAGTGCTTCAAGGTAAGAATGAAGGGTTAGAATTAAAAATTAACTAGTCAAAGGCAGCATAGTTGGGGAACTTGGATGGCAGAAGAGTTTGGCTACTGTGAGACCTTGGCAAGTCACTTGTGACTCACTTGCCCCATCCATAAAGTGAGAGAAGTGGATTAATTTGCCCTTAAGTCTGCTTCTTAAACTCTGTTGTTTTATTTTTGTGTTAAAAAACAGTTCTTTCATACTTTTAAGAAACTATCCAATAGTTTCTGATCCAAAATATGACTGGTTCAGCTTGCCCAAATACCCGTGCTGATGAGGTATCTTGTCAGGCTACATGATGTCCAGGCAGGCTGGCTGATTTCCTAGCCAGGAGTTTAGTACTTTTTCTCAGATGTTTGGCTCTCCATGTAAAGCATCATGGCTGTGATTGTGGGGGGAGCTCTGGTGGCATAATGCTGAAGTCGTTTGACTGCTAACCAGAAGAAGGTTGGTGGTTCAAACCCACCAGCCACTCTGTAGAAGAAAGATGGGGCAATCTACTTCTGTAAAGATTTACCACCTTGCAACCCAATGAGGTTCACTATAAGTCAAAATCAACTCGATGGCAGTGAGTTTATCATGAAAAAAGGATAAAAACTATATTTTTGCTGAGTTTGTGAAGGGGTAAAGTAAAATCGTGAACGTGAAAGTGCTTTGAAAAGGAAAAAGTATATGAGTATAACATAAGTTAACATAAAATCAAAGGTGAAAAATCATGCTTGCTTTTGATTGAGTTAGATAGTTTTTTCCCCTTCTCTTAGTAATTTAATTAATTGCCTCAGCCCTCCAGGTTTAACATGGAAACCTGGCTTGTGTTGTTCAAAGATGCTTATGAAAGAAAATCAAATTAGTTACTAATAAAAGATAGGCTACACAATCTTTTTTATGACGTTTCTTCCAATCACATGAGTTAATTTTTCATAGTGCCAGTAGATAAGGGCATTTGATCTCTCAGCTTGCATTGTACTTCTATTCTGATGCTATTTGTTTAACAAACATTTATATACCTCATATCAGGCACTGTCCTAAGTGTGGTGTCTTAAGGGTTTGCCTTAGTTCTCTAGTGCTGCTATAACAGAAATAGCACAAGTGGAATGCTTTAACACACAGAAATTTATTCTCTCACGATTTAGGAGGCTATCAGTCTAAATTCAGGGCACCAGGTCTATGGGAAGGCTTTCTCTGTTAGCTCTGGAGCAAGGTGCTTGCCTCCTTTCACCAGGTTTCAAGGCTTGGCATTCCTTGGAGATCTCCATGTGTCACGGCATCGGTCTTCCCCTGGGTCTAGGAGGTTCTCAGCACAAGAATCTCAGCTCCAAATGACACACTCCTCTCCTGGCTGTTCTTTTATGGTGGTAGTGATCCCTCTTATAAGGCTGTGACTCAGGATACATCTGACACTAATCCTGCCTCGTTAACATATAGACATTAGCATTTATAACACAAAAAACAGAAGATAATTACAGCGAATAACAGAATGGAGGACAGACACACAATACTGGGACTCATGGCCTAGCCAAGTTGACACACATTTTTGAGAGACACAATTGAGGCCATGACAGCGCTCAACTGCTAGCTGAAAAGTTGATAGTTTAAACCTACCCAAGAGGTGCCTCAGAACACTGTCCGGGCAGTCTGCTGCGAAAAGGTCACAGCCTTGAAACAACCCCCTGGAGCAGTTCGACTCTGCACGCATGGGGCTGCTGTGAAGCAGAATGGGCTTGATATCAACTAGCAACAGCAACAGCAACTAAGTGCTTTGTAAATATTACTTACTTTATTACCTGGGATTGAGGAGTGACTGCATATGTGCACAAGGGATACTTTTGAGGTGATATTCTAAAATTGGACTGTGATGGTTGTACAGCTCTATACAAATTTCCTAAAAATAATAGAATTATATTTTAAACAGTTGAATTTTGTTACGTAAATTATACTTCAATAAAGCTGTGAAAAATACGCATGCGAGCTCATCCTTAATCCTTAAAATAGTCCTCTGGGGTAGATATTGTTACCATTCCCATTTAAAATAAGGAAACAGACTTACAGGTAGATTAATATCATATAGCTGGTCAGTGAAAGAATCCAAACTTTGGTCATTGATCAAGACTCCATGCTTCTAACCACTATACTATGCTTGGAAGTATAGTAAGGAAAGAGCCAGAAAAATGTAATTCAGGGACTCCTGCTGTCACTATCCTATACCATTAGATCTGTCACATTTTGCATATCCTTTTGGTGGTTTGTAGTTTTAAGATTTTTTGCTTGTTTTTGCTGAATTGTAACCTGATGGTTAGCTTCTTGAGGGGTGGGTAGGAGGGTAGGGCTTGAAGGTAGTATATGAGACAAGTTTATGATGTGATGAAGTTAACCAATGTGTTTTTGTTTGTTTGTTTAAAAAAAAAGGTTAACGAAACAATAGATTATTTTTGTACATCTTTGTTTCCTTTACGTGTCTCTTTTTGAGGGCCATTTGAACAATTTACATAGTTTATTGAATTATGATACTTCCTATTATCTCTACTGACCAAAACCAAAAACCAAACCACTGCCATCTAGTTGATTCCAACTCATAGCCACCCTATAGGACAGAATAGAACTGCCCCATCGAGTTGCCAAGGCTGTAATCTTTATGGAAGCAGACCGTGTCATCTTTCTCCTGTGGAGCAGCTGGTGGGTTCCATCCGCCTGCCTTGCAGTTAGCAGCCGAGTGCTTAAGCATTGCACCATCTTTTCTCTAGCCACAGGAAGTTTAATTTATCACCAGTGGCTAAATATGCCTTATTTTAATCGTATTTTTTAAAACAAATTAGACATAATAGATTTTTATAATAGAACCGATAATTCCTTTAACTCTTCCTCAGAGAAATACGAAGTCCTGTTGCCTTCTGCCTGTTTTAATACATTGATTTCTTAATCGAGAAGCAGTATGGTTAGGTTAATAGAAAATATTCTTCCCATACTAGTTCTGTGTCTGTTATGTTGCATTAGAATTTTTTTTACCTGTTTAGGATGATAGGATTAAAGATTCTAGGTACAGTAAATAGTATTTTGAAAGTTCCAAATTGAAAGATGATTCAAATATTTCAAAGAAAAATTTTTACTTCTAAATAGTTATTTGATAAACAGACATTGATGAAGTCAGTTTTCTCATTGGTAGCATAATTAAGGGGAGAAGAGAAGGGGTGTGTAAGCTAAATATTTGTGAAAAATGTGTGGGTTTTTTTGTTTTGTAGAGTCAGCTTTTAAATAATGATGGTCACAACCCATTAATGAAAAAAGTATTTGACATTCATCTTGCTTTTCTTAAAAACGGACAGTCTGAAGCATCGCTGAAACATGTTTTTGCCTCACTGAGAGCTTTCATTAGTAAGGTAAGGAAAGAAACTTTCTATCTGCTCAGTGGGTTCACTCCAGGTCAAGAGGGAAAGAAAAGAAGCCAAAGAGGATCATTGTGACATGACATTTACAAATCTCAGATAAGAAAGCCATGAGGATTCACCTGTAGATATTAAGCACAGAGCCACAAAGCACACAAAAAGAGCCAGACCTGACCACAAATCTCCTAAAATCAGAACTTGCTTTTTATTTCACCCTCTCATACCTTCCCCTTTTCAGGAGGCTCCTTTGAAGAGGGCCGTTCTGAAATTTCCAACTTTGCCAATTTGGGCTCTTTTTTAAAGTATTATGAAGCCAAAGGTTTGTGCACTCACGTATAAGCATTTTGAAAGCAGGAACCACGTTTTATAACTTCAGGGGCTTGTATGATATCTTGCCAATGATAGGTACTCAATACATACTCAAATGAACAATGAACCCTTCCTATTGATGCGAATTGTATCTAAAAAACTCCAAACTTACAGTCGTCATTTCTGACTCATAGCAACTCTTCCTTGGGTTTCCGAGGCGGTATCTCTATGGAAGTAGATTGCCCAATCTTCCTTCCAAGCAGTGGCTCATGGGTTTTGAACTGACAGCCTTCTGGTTAGTGGTCAGATGCCTTAGGCATTATGCCACCAGAGCTCAGGCTACTTACCTCATTTAAACAGTAAGCGCCAACTTGGCTTTGAGGACTAAACATGACCGAAACAGATAGCAAAGATTTCTTTCTGGTCTGGTTTTGATGATTTTAAACTTCAGAATAAACACAAGAAACCAAGATAGAGTTAACATTATGGAAACGCAGAGTCCGGGCCTTCCATTCTAACAAGACAAATTCAACTCACTGATTTGTGTACTAGGACAGCTAAGCACGAAGAACCTTTTTGCCATCGTTTTTATATGGTAGCCTGTTACGTTGAATTGATAACAGGAATTGGATGAATGTGAAACCCTTTTTTTTTTTTTTTTTGGTAATTCTTTAATAAAATTTGTGCCTAAGAAATATATGGAAAACTTGAGTTCATTGCAAACATGATACAAGAAACTGAAAGATCCAGGAATAATTTAACAGTTACTGAGTAAGTAGGTACTTACGCTAGACGCTCTTAGTGATATAGTCCCTCAGGGCTTTTTATCCAGTAGACAGAGACAGAGGCATATACACAGAGAGGTATGTGGCACACTGTGCGCGCGCACACACAAACACACACGAGTACCATTATGAGAAAAGTCTGTTCAGAGAACTGGGAGTAGTAGTAGGAGGAGAGGAAATGTTCTAATTTAGTAAATATTTCATAAAGCTTAGCTTTAGCTTGAAAAATGAATAGGTGTGTGTATCAGGTACTGGTGATAGAAGAATCTGCTTGAAGAAACTCATGGAGAGGTGGCCTGTTCAGTAACTGCAAGTCTTTCTGTAGCAATGGAGCTAAGATTTAGTATGGATTCAGCAGTATATGGATACTGAAGAGGTAGGTCATGAGGACAGATCACCATTGCTCATCTTGGTGGGCTTTATCATTTAAGCATCAGGGAGTTGTGGAAGAATTTTAAGCAGGGAAACAACACAATTAGATTTGCATTAAGAGAATTGGTGTGGGCAAGAGAAAGAAAAAAGTAGCATGGAGAATAGATTGGGGGCAAGACTAAAGGTAGGGAGACCAGTAAGAAGACTTGTTGTGATAAGTTAGATACAAGATGAGGGCCTGAATAAAGTAATGACACTAAAGATGGAAAGTTAAAGGCAGATATAAGACATGTTAATAAGATACAGATTACAGAATTTAATCACCAATTCACTGATTAGATGGTGGGGTGGGAGCTGATAAGAAATATAGGGGGAAACTACAGGATAAAAGTTAATGAGTTCTGCTTTGCGGGCCTGTTGAATTTAAGGGGCCCCCGGGGATGGCCTCAGGGCCTCGGGCAGTCAGCTGCCACGCCTAAGGCTAGCGGTTCAAACCCACCAGCCGCTCCCCACCAGGTAGCCGGGCTGTCTCTTTGGGAGCTCTGGTAGCATAGGGCCTAAGGCATTGACTGCTAACCAGAAGGCTGGCGGTTCTAACCCAGCAGCCACTCCTCAGAGGGAAGATGGGGCAATCTACTTCCGCAGTGATACTGCCTCAGAAACTCAAGGAGGGGTCACTATGAGTCAGGTCCAACTCGACGGCAAATAACACAACATAAGGTAAGGTAGGAGCTCTGGTAGCATAGTGGCTAAGGCACTTGGCTGCTAACCAGAAGACTGGCGGTTCAAACCCACCAGCCACTCCTTGGAAGGAAGATGGGGCAATCTACTTCCGTAGTGATACTGCCTCGGAAACCCAAGGAGGGGTCGCTATGAGTCGGGTCCGACTTGACGGCACATAACAACAACATAAGGTAAGGTATCCAGTTAGGGTCCTTAGGGTAGGCAACTAGATATATAGATATTTTTTTTTCTAGAAAGAGATTTAGGTTGGAAAACTAGACTTGGAGTCACCACCCATACTATATTTATTGAATACCTACTCTGTCTGGCACTGTACTAGGTCCTGATTATTCAGTGGTGGAGATAGAAAATAAGCATAGTCTCTTCCCTCATGAATCTTTCAGTCTAGTAGGAGGGGTATAGAAAATAAACAAAGAATTAATAAGCATGATAAGTTCTAGGAAAGAAACAAACAGGGTACCGAGACAGAGTATGATAATTTCTGAGGGGTTCCCTACTTTATACAGGTTTGTCACTTTTAAAATAAGACCTGATCTATGAAAAGGGGACAACTGCACAAAGAACCGAAGGAAAAGTCTTCTAGGGAGAGATGTGTATATGCAAAGGCCCTGAGTTGATAAAGAACTTGCCATGTTTGGGGAACTGAAAGGCCAGTGTAGCTGGAGTCTTGTGAACTAGGGAGAGCTTCAGCACATAAATGGTAGTTGAAGCCAGGGGAGTTGTGTGATTTCCTCTGGAGAACACGTAGAGGAAGAACAAAAGAAGGCCAAGAGCAGAACCTTGGAGAAAAACAACATAAAGAGGTTGGAAGAGGAATCTGTGGAACAGATGTGAAGGAAACGTCACAGAAATAGAAAGGCAGGCAAGAAGGAAGGATGTTAGGGAAGCCAAGGGAGCAGAGTTTCATCCCTGCCATGCCTGTAGAGTGGTCAAATATGGGGGGAAAATGAAGCTATTGAGATTGGCCGTTGTCTGCTTCCAAGAAGTGAGGTAGCTAAAAGACTTACTGTAGTGGTTTAACTACAATATAAATGCCCTCCACGAAACTTTAGTTTTCATCCTAGAGTATCTTGCCCAGCAAGGCTTGATTCAATGTGGTGAAACTATTGATGAGATTCCCCAATTGTCTATCAGAAAACACGTATTTAACACTCATTATGTGAATAACATTGTGCATGGCATTAAGGTGAGAGAAAAGGTAGATTCCATTCCCATAAGTGGGTTTAAATTCAAGGTTCCCAAGAAATAATTTTGAAAGGATGTCCCTCTAGCTTCACACTCCTGAAAGACATTCCTTGTGTATCGTGAAGCAGCTTACTATCTACCTAGATCTTGTAAGCATGGCAGAGATTATAACAAGTCTCTGTTACATATTCAGTTTTATCTTCCACAAAACAGACTACATACATTCTCCAAGTAACAGGCCACTTGGCTGTTTTGAGGATTAGGTAGTCACTTTTGTACTCACTTTCTATGCCAAAATTAACACCATTTGTGAGTAGAGGATGTACGAATGTGCGTGTGTGTGTGTGTGCACGCTTGTGTATGTGCGCTTCATCTGTTCTCTTGGTAAAAGGTCAACTTCACTTTCTCAGTAGATTTCGGCTATAATTTTCTCAGCACTTGCAAGTTCATAATAAAAGGAATGGCTTAAATATAAAGTAATAGAGTATATGGCATTCAATTTGTCCTTATCGTTAAGGCCCAATTTGAGGCCTATCATTCATTCATCATTTCAGTCATTCACTTACTTAACATATATTGTTGAAACCATCTTGACCTCTTCTCGAATCTATAGCCATGCCTCACATTTTTGTAGTGACTTGTATGTACTGTCGAAGGAGTTTTGGTGGTGCTATGGGTAAAGCATTGGGCTACCATCCAAAAGATGAGCAGTTAGAACCCACCAGCTACTCTGTGGAAGAAAGATGAGGCAGTGTGCTTCCATAAAGATTTACAGCCTCAGAAACCCTATGGGGCAGTTCTACTCTGTTCTAAAGGGTTGCTACGAATTGTTGGGATCCACTCAAGGGCAGCGGGTTTGGTGTTGTATATACTCGTGAATTGTTCTCTCGTGTTCTGCCACATTGCTGGTCTTCTGGTGTTAACCAGTTCAGGCTCTCTTGAAAGTAGATCCCTAACCCTTATGTGGTTTCTGTATCCTCAAAGCACATACACAGCACAATTTTAGGTACTTGATACTTGATTGATTTTCTGATTGGGTTTTCAGATAGATATTTACGTTTCTCCTGTTCTTTAGTTTCCCTCAGCCTTTTTCAAAGGAAGGGTAAATATGTGTGCTGCATTTTGCTACGAGGTTTTAAAATGCTGCACCTCGAAGATTAGCTCAACCAGGAATGAAGCATCTGCACTTTTGTATCTTTTGATGAGAAACAACTTTGAGTATACCAAAAGGAAGACCTTCCTGAGGACACATCTGCAGGTCAGTGAAAATCAAAGCGCCTCTTCTCCTTTCTTTTCAGTATTAGCTTCCTGATCAAAATCTAGAGCTACCCTGCCCAGCACGAAAGCTATTAGCCAAATGTGGCCATTTAGCACTTGAAATATGCATAGTCTGAATTAAGATGTGCTATGTTTTTTTTTAAAAAAAAAAGAGCCCTGGTGGTATGGTGCTTAAGCACTCAGCTGATAACTAAGGGGTGTACTGCAGCTGAAACCTTCTAGCTGCTCTGAGAGAGAAAGATGAGACAGTCTGCTTCTGAAAAGGATTCTGTATAGCCTTGAAGCCCTATGAGGCAGTTCTACTCTCTCTGTAGGGTCGCTCTGAGTCAGAATTAACAGCAACTGGTTTGGTTTTTGGTTTCTGGATTAGGGTAAGATAAACAATGGCCTCTGAAGCTTTGTTGTTGTTGTTATGTGCCGTCCAGTCGGCCCTGACTCATAGCGACCCCTCCTTGGGTTTCCGAGGCAGTATCACTACGGAAGTAGGATTGCCCAACCTTCCTTCCAAGGAGTGGCTGGTGGGTTTGAACCGCCAGCCGTCTGGTTAGCAGGCAAGTGTCTTAGCCACTATGCTACCAGAGCTCCCTTCTGAAGCTTTAGTACCCCCAAATAAAGTAAAATATCTCAATTATTTGATATTGATTACATGTTGAAATGATATTTTGGATATATTAGGTTAAAGAAAATATGTTAGTTTTAATCTCACCTGTGTCTTTTTAATGTGACTACTAGGCAGTTTAAAATAACACGTGTGGCTTGCTTTACATTTCTACATTTCTGTTGGGCACTCCTGTGAAGAGCATAACTGCTCGTTCAGATTCCAGTGCTACCACCCACTGTGTGTCCTTGAATAAGTTGGCAGCTCAATGCCTTGTTTATTTCATATGCAGAATAGGAGTAATATTAGTACCTACCTCACAATGTTTGTGTAAGGACTAAATCAGATGATAGTAGCTAAACATTTGCTAGATAATATTATCACCTAACAGGTAATAGGGAGCTCTGGTAGTGTAGTGCCCAAGGCATTTGACTGCTAACCAGGAGGCTGGTGGTTCAAACCCACCAGCCACTTCTGGGAAGGAAGTTTGGGCAATCTGCTTCCGTAACAATAGTGCCTCGGAAATCCGAGGAGGGGTCGCTATGAGTCCTGTCAGACTCCACAGCAGTGAGTAACAGGTAATAATGTTTGTTCTTTGTGTTCCAGCATGTTTAGTTGTTTAAAAATGAGAGAATTTGAATTACTGGAAAATAGAGACTTTGGACTCATTGGTCGATTGGCCTTGAATCATTGCTCAACTCCTTGCTTAGATTGTGATCCTGGGCAGGTTACTCAATCTGTCCAAATCAGTTTCCTCATCTGTAAAATAAGGCCAAGTTTATTTTGCTTTGCAGGCTTATCATGAGGATTAAAAAGAGAGCATTTTAAAAAATGTTGAATGGGTATATGTTTTATTGTATATATTTTCAACAAAATTTTTCAAAATTAATGAGAAAGTAAAAATAGCATTTGTAGTGCCTTGCACAGTGCCTATCACATGGTAGATACTTATTACATAGTAATTTCAAAGTCTCTTTTTTTGTTGTTGTCATTTATCTGAAGAAACAGCTTTGAACTAAACCACATTTAGGACTTCTTGGCTCAGCTCTTTGTAATATGAGAAATCCTTGGTAATATTTATATCTTCACTGCCACGATCTGTGCCATTGGAGTTGTTTACTGGAGACTGTGTTATTCATGGGGACACCACTATAAGTGAATTTCTAAAAATGTCATCAATAATATGAAAATATAATAGCAGTATATGGTCCTGTGAATATCTACTACCTTGTTATTTTTGGACACCAGCGGCCAGCATTATCTATTTTTATTTATTTCTATTTATCTATTTATCTCTATTTATTTCTATTTATCTCTATTTATTTCTATTTATCTATTTATCTATTTGCTTTTATATGAGGTGTCACTTGAATGCTACCTTTCCCAAAAATATTTTGCCAATTAGTGTGCTGGTATACCTGAAATTCTCCTTTAGGGTTCATGCCTCGGGGTTAGAGATCAGTTCTCTCTAATCTTTTATGAAAATATAAATGGATAATTAAATGTGAAGCCTTAGAACAGGATGTGGCACATACATAGTAAGTGCTTAGTAAGAGTTAGTATTATTATGATTACGATCTCTTTAATTTTCGTAACAACCCTATAAAGTGGCTTTGATCATCCCTGTTTCACAAATAAGGAAAGTTTAGCACAGAAATGGTTAAATAACTTACCTAAAGTCACCCATTGGCTTTGTGAATAAGTGATAAAACCAAGATTTTGAATCTAACACAGTTTAACTCCAGAACCTGCACTCATAACTACTATTATATCCTGATTCCCACAGTCAGGAATTAAGCATCTAGCCATTAACACCTTAGCATGAATTGTTTAGGCATACACCCAGGGGAGCCTGAAAAGTACCATCAAAGGCCACTGCCTGAGGTGCTATCCAAACAAGGTAAACTCCAAAATGAAACTCGCTGCCCTGCTGTTGGACTTGACTCACAGTGACCCTTCCTTGGGTTTCCAAGACAGTATCACTACGGAATTAGATTGCCCAACCTTTTGAGGAGTGGCTGGTAGGTTTGAACCACCAGCCTTCTGGTTAGCAGTCAAATGCCTCAGGCACTACGCCACCAGAGCTCCTATCCAAACTAGGCAGGCCCTGTCAAAAACAAAGAAGAGAGCCCTGAAGTGCTAGTCTGAGGGTTCCAGCACACTAAAGTAAACTAGTTTTTTTGGTTTTAAAGGAGTGGGAAACGTAGTGTATTCACAACATGACTTGTGGCTACTACCTAGCAAACATATTCGAAGTGGCACCCTGACCACCACTGTAGCCATTCACTGTTAGGAAAATAGTTTTAGATCTAGATGTATTAGGAGTTTTGAAAAATTGTTCTCATCTAACCAAGAATTGTCCCGATAAAATTTCAAATTGTGACCTTTGAAGTTATTTCAATAGAAAAATTTCAACCCCTCATGGATGAGGAAAATAGCTTATGATGGAACTATAGAGGATCTTTCAAAGAAGTATTTCATATGTGTGCTTATGTCCTTATATAATGGTGAAAATTTGTCAAAGCCATTTGAAAACTAATGTTTGCTTCTTCCCCACAGATAATAATTGCTGTAAGCCAGCTGATAGCTGACGTAGCACTGAGTGGAGGATCAAGATTTCAGGAGTCTTTATTCATTATCAATAATTTTGCAAATAGTGACAGACCTATGAAGGTATGTTCTAACTTCAAGTGATAACTTGGAAGTATCTTCACAATCAGAAGTTTACAGTCCTAGAATTAAACTGTCATTGGATTCACAACTGTTGATAGTATATAGTATGAAGAATGTGAGATCCATGAGGCAAGAGATTTGTCTTGAATACTGCAGTATCTCTGGGACCCAGAACAGTGCTTGGTACATGGCAAATATTCAGTATTAGATGAATGGATGTATAGATGAATATACTATGTCTATGTGGAACCCTAGTGGCTTAGTGGTTAAGCACTCAACTGGTAACTGAAAGATTGGCAGTTCAAACCCACCCAGTGGCTCCATGGGAGAAAGATCTGTCTGTGTGCTTCTGTAAAGATTACAGCCTAGAAAACACTACGGGGCAGTGGTACTCTGCTGTATGGGGTCATTATGAATTGAAATCAACTCACTGGCACCTAACAACAATGACCCAGTTGTTATAGCTACTAGGATCTGATTATTTTCTTGTCTTGAGTTCTAAATTTGCTCAGAAAATAAACAGGTCCTTTCTTTCTTAACAAAGGAACTCTGGTGGGCAATGATTAAGGCATTCGGCTGCTACCAAAAGGCCAGCAGTTCAAACACATCATCTGTTCCACAGGAGAAGGATAAAGCAGTCTGCTTCTGTAAAAATGTACAGCCTTGGAGACACTGCAGGGTGGTTCTACTCTGTCCTGTAGGGTCACAAAGAGTCACAATTGACTTGATAGCATGGGTTTGGCTTGGGTTTCCTCTTGTAACAGTTGTGACCTTTTATAATATTAGCTAAGTAAGCGCTGAGTTTGAAGTTTCACACAATCTTACTTCTTAGAGCAGCTGACACCTGCTTTGGTTTTGTGCATCACAATAATAATCTGTTAACTGATCTTGGCTTGCCGTAAGTATTTATTGCCAAATCCAAGTGCAAGGCTGTTGTTCTTAGGCATCAATTGCCTGAGGCCAAGCCCAAGACACTGACCACCATTCCTTTTTCTTACTTACATGCTTAAAATCAATAACATTATAAAAATCTATCTGTTAGAGTATGAAGGGATGGACACTGGGAGGAGGTAACTATGGGGAGGAAGTGGGAAGGGAGCTGCTGCATTGTAAATTTTGGTCAATGACATGAGAC